TTTCTCTCACAAAATTTTGCCACCAAGGGGAGAGGCACAACGGCGCATGCGCGTCGGTTCTCCTGCAAGAACGACGGCCGCTTCCCGCTATGCTTGGATAGAAAATGGCGTACCATTGCGATTCATACGATTCCCAGCGACCCCCGCACTTCCCCGTGCCCCGTTGTTGGGTTGAGTTGCAGAGCAAATTTTATGACAATGTGAAATGCGGGACGTTTCGCAGATTTGGGAATTTCTCACGGGACGCGGGACACGAGCCCTCAATGCGGGACAGTCCCGCGAGCCGCGGGACGGGTGGTCACCCTATGTTTAAGGGTTGGACCTGACTTTAAAACGATCGCAGCCTCCCTACCAGCAAGTCGTAGAAGCCAGCTATGCAGTGAGCGCAGCAGCCATTGTTCATGCAATGGCCATGCGGCTTACTTTCTTTCCTTTTCGTTTGCCTTCGTTTGTGAGCGTTTATATTTTCATTTTGGTTTTAACCTGGATGAAAATAGCCACGTAGCACGTACTAAAAACGTTTCCGAAAACACGAAAATTTCATTCTGTATTTTATTTTTAAACATATGTTTTTTCGTTTTGTTTTTTCTTTTTTTACAAGAGACGCCCGGTAACATTGTACGACAAGCAAGTTGGAGGCAGTCGGAGTTCGCAAGACGCTAATTTCTCCGATGTGAACCTGCTGTTTTTGCCTTGTGTCAAGTGCAGTTCTCGTGTTCCCGTGTTGGAGAGCATAGTTAACGTTCGTGCGCTCGTCGGGGCGAGTGTGTGCGTGAACCTGGACTGCTCCGAGGGTAGTTTAACAAGCCGTTGCTGCTGTCACTGGATTGGGTTTCGTCATCCAAGAAGCTTTTTTCTGCCTCCTCCTACTTGATACTGAGAATTTCTTCACGGTTTGTTTGTGCTCGGTGGTGGAATGATTCTGATTGAGCTGTCTTCGGTCGTGACAGTGCACTGTCAGAACCGTTGATGTGCGTCGTAAATAGTATATGTAGCTTTGGGACTCATGGAAAAAGAAAGTTTTGGCCTTCTGCGAGTATTTTTTTAATTTGCTTATATCTTCCCCAAAAACGCGAGCATTCGTCAATGTTGACTTAAAGCGAAAGAAACACACACAAGGACGAAACAGACGACACAGCTTTCGACTTGCAACGACAGATTTACTGGGGCGGCTATCCGCATAGAGCTCGACTTGGGGAGGCGATGTCGAGCTCTGAGCGGTTAGCTGCCCCAGTAAATATGTCGTTGCAAGTCGAAAGCTGTGTCGTCTGTTTCGTCCTTGTGTGTGTTTTTGTCGTTTTAAGTCAATTTAGATCACCAACACGCTCAAATCTTTAATCGTCAATGCACTACAAAAATTAAGATGGGAGCAGCACGCGGTATTAATTTTGCAAGCATTTTTGTAGCGCAGCACGCGAAATGAGTGCAGCTGCCGTCGTACTCTCCGTCAACTAGAGCCTTGGTGCGCCGTGGGAGACGGCAAGAATGCACTCTCTCGCCGTCGGCGACCGCATTTGTTTTAAAGGCTGAACCGCATGTAAGCGATTTAGCGAACAACGAGACGAGCTACGGAGACAGCGACGAGCGACGGCGATTTCTCACGGTCACCCGTCGCGTCGCTCGGTTTTTTATTTCTAGGAAACATCGCTCATCGCCTTGGCCGCGTGTTCCCGTAGATTTCATGCGGTTTGCCTCTTTGCGCAACTGACCTAGCGACTGCAAAAAACTGACGTGCCGATACACGACGACAAGTTTACGCACTCAAATGGTCAGTATAAACGACTCATGGGCAGTCAAGGAAGTTAGCGGGGAGGAAGTGGCCGAGTGGGCTAACGCGTCACAGTACGGAGCGTGGAGCGAAAGCTTTCGCTGGGAACTTCGTGGGTTCGATCCCGCCACCCCCCGCCCCTCTCCCCCCCCCCCTCCCGCCCCTCCCGCCCCTCCCGCCCCTCTCCCCCCCCCCCCCCCCCCCCCCGCTAAGTTAGAGGTTAGAGTGGTTACAGTAAGCGTGTCATAGCGTGTCCTATTTGCATGTGACCTGTGGATGTGCATGTGTATATGCATCTACTTGCAAGAATTGTAATGAACTTTAAATAATCGGCTTCTTTTTTGTGCACGTTTAATTAGACGGTGAATAGCGCCACCTGGATTACTCATTTCCAGTTTCAATTTTTGTTGCGCCTGCCACCTGGTGGTAAGCAGCATAACCCCACATCTTTTTTTTTCTCCACCGAAAATCACGTGACTAGTGGCGTTTTCGGTCTCCCGTAGGGAGGTAGCGCTAGTTACTAGGTAGAGGTAGTAAAGTGCATGGATTATACTTTGAGGCTAGGAACAGTCACTAGCTTCTTGACCTAGTAACCGTTACTAGCTTCACCTCTACAACTTGCGGTTACTAGGTACCTAGCAGGGTTGTAAAGTACCTAGGTACAAGTAACTGTAAATCGGTATCTAGGTACTTTTGTTGTACCTGAGGTACAAACCTAGGTACTTTCCTTTCTCAGTATCTGTATCTGTATCTTAGGTACATTTTCCAGTAACTTGTAACTAAGTGAAGTTACATTTTACAGGTACTTTTCTATTCACTTCGTCAAAATCGTAGAAAATACAATATAACATATAACTGGAAATAAATTATAATTACAGTCTTAAAGCGATTTAACATCACGTAGTGTTTCCACGCAATCAATCGAACTCAATTTTTGCACTTTACAAAACTGAAAATGTATGTGAAGAAGAAAAACAAACTGGGAGGACGATTAACCTTCACCTTTAAGAGTTGAACGCGATAGGGTTATCGGGCCCCGTTCGCATGGCCTTCTCAATCGCTTCTCATGCTCTTGAGTCACACAACGACCTAGTTCTTATGGTACAACACTCCCGGCGCGATCGAGGAGCTTCTGCCAGTGCTTTGATGCCATTTTACCCCGCAAGGTTTATTTATGTGTTTGCTCGGCACGCGCTAACAACACTCGATGCGATAATGCCTTTACCTTGACACAGACAGACATTGAGGCACTCCAATGACGGCAGGATCGCAGTGCCATTCCCAAGCCCTCCGTTGCCTAGTCGGTAGCATGTCTGGCTCGCAACCGAAGGGGCGTGGGTGCGATCCTGCGTAAATTCCTTAAATTTTTCTTTAAGGCAAATGAATTAGTTTATCAAGTGGGATCATTTGAAACATGCGGCGACCATTAATTCGTGTGCTTTAACCACCTTCATTCCACGCGTAACGTCACGTTTCACATGAGCGTTGTGGGTTGTTTGAAATTCCCGCGCGAAGTCATGTGGCTGTGACGTCACGACCCTATCGACCATTCAGGAATTTCCCGTCACGCCACCGACGCCACCGACATCCCACGGATTTTCTGTAACACGAGCTCCTAAACGCGCTCGCGCTAAAATATTCTCTTCCTTCCCAAAAACATTGACAGCAATAAAGCACGTTTATCAAACTTGTTTTTGTGTACATCCCAGTATACAAAGGATTTTCTTCCAATAATTTGAGAAAAATACATGACGTGAAAATAAAAAGTATCTTTGAAGCAACTGTACCTGTACCTAGGTACATTTTTAAGCGAGTAGCTAGATACGCACCTAGGTACATTTTCGTATGAGTAACTGTAACTCTATCTTAGGTACATTTTTGAAGTAACTTTGACAACCCTGGTACCTAGTAACATATGTGACAAGCGGTTACTACCTCTTAGCTAGTAAATACTATTTGCTTTTTTTTAAGAGTGCATTAATGCCCGAATAAATAGTTATAAACAATCTTTTTTTGTGTGCATACAATTGATTAATGGAACAGTCTTCCCGGTTATGTTGTTCACATTGATTCATTTTCTTCTTTTGCGAAAGCTGTAGAAATCATTTTTCAGTGCTAAGAATGTTTTTGATTGCTGTTTAATCATGAAGTTCAATGAAAACAGATGTTTGAGGCTCATTATTTTATATGCATGTTACTGTGTCAAATGTAGGAAAGGGGGTTAAGGTTTCGTGCATTGACTGCATAGGAAGAAAATTTCGTTATTTTATATATTTTGTTTGTATGCAATTCAGATGTCAGTGTGCCAATCGACAATGTGTAACTTACTCCTGCCTTGGCCCTAAACTGGGCTGGCAGTATTGATAAATAAAAAAATAAATAAAAATAAAATAACACAGACCACTTAGTGATATTATAAGCGTGCATGAACGTCATACTCAGAATACCGGCGAAGGCCTTTCTTTGAGCAAACGTGTAACATATTTTTTTCATGTTCATCACAATGATGAAATCACCTCTGAAATGTCCGTTCACAGTGTTTATTAAGAAACAATTTACGGTGTACTCCAATATGTACAATAGCAAAAGACCGGGTGAAGGATTATAACATTAGTTAAAAAAGCGTCGCTGATTTTGAGCAGTTTTGTCTGTCTGTTTACATTTTATTTTTTGTTTCAACTGATCTAACATCTTCGATGCTGGCGGTAAGGACGCAAATTAATTCGAACGTGCGCAGTGGACACGATCAACAACATTACAGGTTTTCACTAACGACATTTATATTCCCTTATTTATTCATTTTTGTCCGGGAGAAGAACAAATTATTTAATATAGGGTGAGCACTTGATCAGCTTGGATCCGGGCCATTCGCACGTGATCACACATTTGCCAGTAAAAGGTGAAAGATTAGAAGGCACAAAAAAAGAATATTTTGCAACACTCATGTGGGTATTGAAAAGTACCATGAAATGGTATTTAGGCTTCATGTAAAGCTGAAACCATCATTTTCGCCAAACTAAACTTTAGAAGCATTTCTAGCAAGTACTTAGAGGCTGAATTTTAAACAAATAAATATTCTTATATTCACCGAATGTCACTCGGAACATCCGACAATGGATTGTAACTTTGTGGAAAAGCACAAATCGGTAAAAGGAAAAACGTGGCCAAGCAGGTTTGAATTTCGTTTCTCCGCGTGGCAGTCGCGTGCGTTGCCAATTCGCACGCAGCTATATTAACAGTTAGTACAATATTCAGTTTTTTGTTTTGTTTTTGTATATACAGTATAGACGAACTGTTTCACCTTGTGTCTCCACACGACGTCCACCGTCTCGTCAAAGCTTGTTCCTTCGGGAATGATGACGCAGGTGGCGCCGGAGCAGACAACTCTCATGAGCATTCGGAATCCAACCGTCTGTGCGACAGGGAACAGCGCTCCAACGGTTTCTGTCTCGTCAAACATCATGTTGAGTCTGAATGAAATCGGAGAAATTCAGTACGTTCACTCTGGTGTGCAGCTCCGAACGGCAATACGAAAATACAAAGTGCTAACAGTAAGCAAATCGCTGTTTATGAAAAAGAGAAATCAAAATTCAGAGTTCTTGCTTTGCAAGAAGGATTGTAAGATATGTAGTTGAATCTACCTTTTAGCTAAAAATAAACATGACTTACATAGTGCACTACTGAGCATCCTTGCTATTTGCACGTTTAGGAAATCAAGAGAGGAACGTTTGCCGGGATACATCCACAGAGTGTTTCTGTAAAAATCGCCAAAAATATGCTTTCCGAGATAAAAAAAAAAGAAATGCGGGAACAAGGTCTTGGCGGACAAGAATTGCGAATAACATACCGATCAGCAAGGTAATTAGTTCAAATTTGCTACTCTTTTTTGTTTTCAATTTGTAAAATTAAACATGTGCTTCTGCTGAGAAACTTACTAAGCATCATTATAAACAACTAATTCAGCTCTTTTTAGATAGATATAAGGCAGGGGTAGCATTTTACGGCGTTCTGAAGAAACGCTCAGCTTGGATGCGTTTCCAGGTTTCGGTTTCTAATTGGAGGGTATCTTTGAGCCCGAAGTCCTGCGGCGCGAAGCCACCACCTCGCCTCCGTTGTAGGATGGGCGGAAGTCAATGTTGACGCAAGTATATGGCGCTCGCGTGTTGGGTGTCTCGGTCACTGGGGGGCAGGACCGCGAGCGCAGATATGCGCTCCGATAAGAAACCGAAACCTACAAACGCGTCCGAATTGAACATTTTCACTGAACGCCGTAAAATACCGCTCGCTGCCTTATATCTTCCTAAAAATTGTTTATTCGGTAGTTTACGGTGATGCTCAGCAAGTTTCTCAGTGGAACCATATGTTTATATGCAGAAATAAAAAAAAATATATCTTTGATTTTAGTTTATGATTTTTCTAATTTGTATAATTATGCAATCCACGACGTCCGCCAAGGTTGATAGTTTGTCCGGAAGAAGTCGGCTTTTATTTCGAACAGCATATTTTGGGGAAACGTTTGCCGGTTTACATATATCGTTTCAACGCAAAAAGCACGTTTTCTTTTTTTTTTTTATCATTCGGCGTGGGCATGACAGAACTTCAAAAACAGAATGCGATTTTCAACGTTCTACTGCAGCTTTTTGCAGTATTTGCAGCTTTTTGAAGCCACAAAAAATGCATATCATAATTGTATTTTATTTTTAATATTGATTGTGTGCCTTTAATGACCGACGGCTTTGATTTCCTTTAGTGGCTGTGGCTATGCCATACAAAAAGGCACGTGACTACGGAGCAGAGTTAGCGTAGGCGAAACCCGCCAGTTCTCGATCGGCGGTTTTCCAGGAGAAAGAAAACGAATTAATAGCCGCAAATCGTGTTCTGGGTAGTTGGGCTTTCATATCTCATGTACAAATATAAACAATGGCTAGCAGAAATACCCTGTCAGTGTCCCTCTAAAGTGGACGCTCTCATCGCAACGTTCACGATTTTTTTTAAAAAGTGTGCGCTTTTTCTTTTTTTTTTGCGCGTTATTTGATGTTTTTTTTTTGTTTGTTTGTTTAGACAGCCTTCTACTTCGGCTGGTGCAGAATCTGCTACTCCAACTAAATGCGAGTTTTTTTTTATTTTTTTTTATTTTAGTCGTGTCGGAATATCTGGCACCATCCTCGACATTTTGATCTCCTGGTTCCCTTTTCCACGTTCTCCGTGCGTATCAGGGAACGGGCTCTATGAATAGCGCACGTCGAGCGATTTGACCTTGAAGTTTCGTCACCTTGTTCAATCGAACACAGTAAATTACGAATGATTAAACGCTGCTCCTGTCGTACTCCAGCTATATTCGAAAAAAGCCGATAGTAGCACTACGAGCGCCGCTTCCCAGCCGCGGTGCGAAGCGGGCAGTCAGCTTTCAGAACATGTGTTGGGTGGCTTTCTGAAGTAGCCCGGTCTCTTCATCGCTTGCTGTTTGAATTCTTTAGTAACGTGTTATCCGGGATACTTAGGTTTATTCCGGGAAATGATCTTAAATCTAGAGGCAAACAAAACGCTCTACCCTTATTATAGAATTACAAATGAAGTAAGTAGTTCTCAGCCCTGAATGTAAAGCTAGAAATATACATTTAATGAGACGAACACGTGCCTACAAACTTAAAGAGAAAGTACAACGCCCCTTGCGTCGGCGACGGAAGAGCGACTTTCCCAAAGCAGCGCTTTACCGCTGCGTTGATCGACGCGGTACGTTCAAGAGTCTTTCTAACCAGAATACACGATGAAAGCCGAGTATGGGTTAAAACATTCCAAAGAAGTACAAAAAAAAGCGGGCAAAAAGGGGTGTGAACCCGCTCTTTGCCCGCTAACTCCGCCTCGCACGCGGCACTATAAACTTGTCCAATATCCACTACGCAGCCGACACGACATACCCAGATTTCTATGCAAAATAACTGAATCGCTCTTAGTGGGAACTTTGCAATCACGAGGTTCCGTCTGTGAAGTAATTTTTAGTGTAATGGTTTGTAATTAAATTGTGCATTCTTTCTCAAAATAGTAATAAAAACAAAAAAGTACATCGTTGTTTGTTTCTTTTTGCTGCATCGACGAAATTGCATACCTGTATAGTTGCAGCCCAGCGACACAACTGTAGTGCGTATCTTCGACGGCCTTTGGACGGCCCGTTGTGCCGGATGTAAAACAAAGAGCGATCAGTTCTTTTTCAACATCGACCACTGGAGGACCAGTAAAACTTTTCTCCGGTACGTTCTTAAACTTTGTCACCGAAATGAATCCAGGCTTATCACCTACAACAAAGCATTCCTGAAAATTAACAAAAAGTATCAAATATAAGAGCGTTTTAATATTCTACGAATTTGGCAAATTGGAAAATATTTGCAATTGGAAACGATAGCTAGCAATCCTCACAATTTAATTTTACCAGAAATATATTGAAACTATAGCGTCATATAGACACATTTAACGCACTACGTTGGAGGCCTTTACACTTTTGAATGTTGCAAAAAAAAGTTGTACTAAAAAACTTACGTAAGTGTAGAGTGATTCAACGTTGTTAGTTCGTGCAATGATGGTCCGGGTCATAATTTAGATATTTCTGTTAAAAATATATATGAAAGCCATGTTCTCGGGAGAAACATTCCGCTATATTTGAACGCCTTAACAATGTTCTTGGCTGAGATATAAAATAGGGAAGCTCGAGGCGTGGAAATTGAAGAGATTTCACGATGTTACTTTGCACAGCCGTCATTTTCTCATAAAAGCTTTCGCGTCACCCTAACCTTTCTTAACACAGTTCACAGAAGGTTTAGAACAGACACACATAGCATTAAAAATATCAATGAAATATTTCTATGCTAAAAAAATGACCAAGCATGACATAAAAACGCGTTTTAGAGACATATTCACAATTTTGTTTTCAAATAAACCATCTTCAATAATGCTTCACCAAACATATTAAAATGTGCGTCTTTGAATTTGCTTTATAAATGTGTTAAGATCATACTTGGGTAGTTATTCAATTACAGTAATTAAATTACTGTAATTTAATTACATTTTTTTGTAATTTGTAATTGTAATTAAGTACTTTAACCTAAAAGGAATTGTAATTGTAATTTAATTACTTTCTAGTGTCAGTAATTGCAACATTTCAGGCAGAATTACAATTTGCAAGATTTTACGGCGTCGGCACTTTTTCTCCCCTGACCACGGGGACAGCAGTACAGCCTAAGCGACAGGGGAGAGAGTGTATCCCAACCTGCTCAAAAGGGGGAAAGGAGGAATGGGAAGGAGAGGCTGGGATAAAACAAAATGAAGGGTTTTGTAAACTGTAAAACGATTTAATAAACATTTTGAGAAATAATTTTATAAATGAGGGCTACATTCACGTCGGTTTTTGTTCGGATAGCAGTTGAAATCTGTCTCTTCATCTCGTTCGTCTCCTGTTGCTCGTGTTCCTAGGGGTCTCTCTTGTTTCTCATTCCCCTCAGGGCGCATTGGGGTTCGAAGTAGTAAGTAAGTAAGTTTATTCCCATCAACACTGATGGCGGAGGTCGAGAAAAAAAGCTGTAAAGTACAGCTTGACAAGGTCCTCGACCTCCTACATAGGCGAAATAGCAGAGGCACAGGGAAAAAAAACACATACAAAAAACATATTTCATACCAAAACATGGTTCAAGGTGAAACAAGAGGACACTATAAAAGCACAAAATGCGTACTAAGCAAACAAGGAAAAAAAGATATATATATATTTAAAAAAAATATATATATATTACATGAAAGATGAAGTCATTGCTAATTTACCTATCTAAGCTTATAAAATATTCTCTAAGTTGTTTTGGTGATATTCTATTCAATTCCAGTTCACTCTCTTCTAACTGGTTCAGCAATTTAGGCAACGTATATCGAACCATCTGGGAGCCGTAATTTGTTCTCCGAGCCACCATCTCCCAAAGGTGTGCATGACGTGTGGGGTAAACCGGTTCTTTCAGATAAAGATTAGCCAAATTTTTAAGGAAATGTGTATTTCTATTGTTTTCCGTTTTAAACATTTTACTAAGTCTATAATTGTATAAATTGTATATATTAATAACGCGGAAAGCCCTAAACAAACCAGCTGTATGGGAGTCGAACGAGACGCCGCCAATGGACCTCAGCATTTTTTTTTTGTAATAAAAATATCTTCTCAAGGTTCGATAATGTAGTTGAGCCCCAAACAAGATGGCCATAATTTAAATACGAATAAAACAGAGAATTGTAGATTAGTAATTTAACATTCGTTGGCAAAATTGATCGATGGCGATATAACAATCCAGTTATTCGTGACAGTTTGGGAATTATGTAATTTATGTGATTATCCCAGGACATACTCTCAGAAAAGATCACTCCCAAAACCTTAAAATTGCTCACAATCTCAATTGGGGTTGTGCTAAGAGTAATGTCCCTCATTATTCCAATCGATTTATTTCTCGTCGAGCTGGTAGGGCTCCGATCATATCATCGGGTTGAGGCGAAAGGTTCGAGGTTCTCCTTACGCGACGTCGTCGCTAGCTTATTCGCTTAGATATTTCAATCAAGGCTGGGGATTTTACCGTATTTACTCGAGTAATAGCCGCACTATTTATGAACAAGGCCCTTGCGTCTACTTTCGCGCAGAACACAAATACAGCTAGTCATCGCTTTGCGCGTAAAAAACTCAGTGAATAACTAGATCGCGAACACGGTTCTCCATACAAATGCAATCTTCAGAAATTGTATCTTCGCGCGAAGGCGTTATCTGTGTCCTGTAAACCGCTAGAACCTTGCTGTCGATCGCGGTGATTGGCAATCCGCGTGGTCCGAGGAAACGCGGACCCTCAGGCTTTTTTCACAAACAGTGCGGCTAATACTCGAGTAAATATGGTATTGTCCATGAAATTATTCTCTTTTCTTTACAAGTTCTTCACGTTCCTCTACTCTAGCTTGTCTGTTGGTACCACTTGCAGTAAGTTGTGCTGCTCTAACATCGAGGCGAAGAAGCAGCAGGTCTCGTTAACACGACTCACCCCACCTGACTTCCAACCGTTGTTGCTACACTGCTCTTCCCTCTCCCAATCTTCGTCTACGTTTCCGCATAAATTTTCATTATTTACTGTTTGCTCCAACCCCTAACCCTTTCAACCGTTTCTCAACCTGATTGGACGTGATTCCAAAACTTTACAAACCGCCGTTTTAGACTGTCAATAGCTTGTTCTAAAATAAAGTAAAAATATAATAAAAGTTTATTTTTATTTATTGCGAATATAAGAATGCAGGAGTTTATTACTCTAAACTGTTAAGTTCTATAATTCATTTAACAAATTTAATAAAAGAAAAGTGCAATAGGTGACATTTATACAGCGGCCATATAACTCGTTTGGCGAAAATGGGTAGCTCTCAGAAATAAGTAATTGTAAAGTAATTGCATTACTTTTTAAAAGTAATTTGTAATTATAATGAATTACTTTCGCGTAGTAGTAATTGCAATTGTAGTTTAAATACTTTTGGAGCGAAATAATTGTAATTGTAATTAAATTACATTTTGAAAGTAATTTACCCATGTATGGTTAAGATATAATGCCGACGCTTAATTGTCTTCTTGTTATCAACGCGGAAATGCAGCTTGTTTTTAAAAATGTGGCAAGATTGGGCGTCGATATTTAAAAAAAAACTTTATATTATATTGTTTAAAACTCCCCTTGGCACTTTGCAGTGACTTGAACTAACTTGTGATGGCAAAACATAGAGTAACATATGACCTCCAAACGGGAAAATCTAAGACAAAGCTTTCTTCGGAGTGAGCCGACGTCTCCCTCATAGCGGCTTTGCCGCACAGCACCAAACATTTTGAGCGTTAGTTATGGCATGCATTTCATATATATTTTTTTTTATTTTTATCTTTTTTTTTTTCATAAGGGGTGAGTACAATTGAGGCGAAAGGGGACTTGAGCTGGAATATCATTAATTAGCTTACAATTCACAAAAAAAAAAAAACGGCCCCACTCTGCGAATTCGCTAGCTAGGCATACATAAGCTTAAAAAGCTCAGTTGCTCAAGTGGACACCTATACATCCGGCCTCTCGGCATATGATGACTTCCACAAATGAGATGCCTGGATTTCTCTCAGAGGTCTTACGGTGGTCCACTCTGCTTGCTTCACCGCACGAAATAATCGAACCAGTTCCGCAAACAGATGGAACAGCAGACCTTTGTTACTTTTGTTACGTAGCACTTCCACAAAGTCTTTTGCGGTGACAACGATCGTTGAATTGAGCGAAGATCTCAAGTTGGTGAGCGTTCCGTGGTGTTTAAAAACAGCCCCTACTCCATCACAAGCGCTTTTTCCGCGTCCAGGGGCTCAAAAGATACATCTTGCCAAAGAGTATATAGGGCTTCCGAGACAATTCGTGCAATTGGAACCGATTCTTGAAATGCGCCGCCGCTTCGTCTGATACAAGAACTATTTAAAAAAAGACTGGGTAATGTTCATCAACATACTTTTCTATGGCCTCGATGGCTAGAAGAGTGTGTCGTGTCATCGCTGACAACGGCAAAGCTTTCCGTGCATTACGCGTGGACGTAACCACACGTGGAGAAAGAGACTTGCATTTTTTTACAATGACAACTCTGCACTTCGGTTGGGAAGATTGCTGTCCAATTTTCCGAAAAATCGAAGTGGAACATCACTGCCTTGGGTGGTAAGGCGGTTCTTGTGTCATGTGTCAGGTTTCGTTGAAGGTCGAGAGAGAGAGAGAGAGAGAGAGAGAAGTCTTGCAAAAGAGGAAAAACCATCGTTGGAGTTACAGCCATGGGCCGAACGGTCATCGTTGGATTGGGGGGAGGGAGAGGATATAACAGCTGATAGAAGAGAAAATTGTGAAGAGAGAGGAGGTTTGTTTCGCCAAAGCCAACAAGTGGGGCGCGAGGAGCCACAGAACGCGGCTGGCAGAAAAGCGGGCGGAGCCGAGGAAGGAAGGAGACGTTCAAGGTCGCGGACGTAAGAATGCCTCATATACTTTTCGCTCTCCAGTTCCCGTAGGAAGACGGAAAAGTCCATAACCTTTTTGACGAGTTTGCCGGCGTCCCATCAAGTGAAACAGATCTCTTTGTCTTCGTCGAGATGGAGCGACTGCAGCGAGATGCTCTGCGTTTTTGGGCACTTTTCGCAACGGCGCAGGAAGCAATCGTTCTGTGGAACACTGCGGAGGTGGATGCGCTTGAGGTCGTCTTCAGTAAATTTCTTTTTTGGGGCATTAGTTATTGCCGTTAAAAGCAACTGAAAATTAACGCAACATATGCATGCGCACACCTTGTGCTCGAGATCTTTAGGGGCGAAGCTCCTTAGGGTCTAGCCTTGTCCGTCTGGCGTCCGTGCTCACATCGATCTTGCTGGTGCTCGTGCTCGTGATTGTGCTTTTGAGCTCACGTGCTTATGTAAAGCAAAAGAAAAAAAAGAAAAAAATGTTTGCGCAGTCGACAGGATTCGAACTTGTGCGGGGAGACCCCAATGGATTTCTAGTCCACCGCCTTAACCACTCGGCCACGACTGCGGGACGAGTAGGGTGCTCTGAGATGAGGTAGTAACTCAAGAGCTGGGGATGCCATCGATGAAGCGTTGCATGTAGCCGCTCAACGTCTATACAGGAGAGGGCGCTGCGGTCAAATGCATATATAATCGCGTTGTACTTTGTATGCATTGGCTCAACGTTTATAGACGAGAGGGCGCTGCGGTCAAATGCTCAAATGCGTATATAACCAAGTTCCATACCACACATTCTCTTTCTGAAATGGATGAAAACGAACGAAAGGCTCGGCATGCTGCGGCTCAGCGTCTACGCAGACAAGCACCACCAGAGCTTCGCCCCAATCAACATCATTCACCACGTGGAGTTGCGGTCATTTTTTTTTACCCATTTTGGTCGTAAGGAATAAACTTTGGACATGCCTAGTTCTGAATGGGGATGGTCCTTCCCAAACAGCTGGTAAGCTTCGTTAATGAAGCGGGTCATATACCTTTTTTACGACTTTGGACATGTTGTCGTTGATCATGGCTTTGACGACGTCGTTTTTGTCGGGGCTTTGAACAGAACATGCGAGGTCGTCGCGTGTGTAGTTTACTACACACCCGACGACCTCGAATGCGAGTATACTCAATTGCAGCCCTCACGTCTTCGGCATTCGCCTTTTTCCTCATGTAGGGATGAGGGGTTGCCCATATACCACCTTTACGCTTCAGTTTTCTTGCTTGATCAATCATGTAGGCAGTCGCTTCCGGCACCAGACGCAATATTTCTTTCTTCGAGATGCTTGGTGGCAGGAGCGCGTACAATCGCTTGCTTTCCTGGTGGGAACTGCATGCCTTCAAGGATTCGCGGAACACGTTAAACGACTCCGCGCAGTGCTCACAACTGTCTTCGCCGGTTTTCACGCCATAAACGCTTGACAGCTTTCTTCTAATCAAAGAACTCACTTGAGCTAGTTTTTTCTTGAAATACGTTCGCGCCTTTTTTTATGGTCTTACATTGTTTTAATGGAGTTACCGACGGACTAGCAGCACACAAGTCTTGACTCACTTCAGCCAGAATTTCATCAGAATCCCGGAAAGAAGAGTTTGATGTACTCACGTTGTGAGGAGAAGCAATCTCATTCTGAAGGTATTTGTAGCAATGCTGGTTCAAAAGGTCAGATTTGTTCACTGTCCATGGAGCCAGTAGCTTTTCCAACCGGACTTTGTTCAGTCTCCCTACCGGTACAAGGTGCTTATCGCTATTCAATTTCTTCTTGCATCTCCGTACATAGTCCACACAGGACAATCGCACGGTGCTGAATCGTTGGGCCATGGCTGTTCGACCTGACACTAGGCTCTTACTCGCTTCGTAAATGACAGAACTTGAAACGTCCTCGCAAACGATTATTTGAAAGGTTCTGAATTCCTCTCTCCGCGCTCCGAATATCCGGTTAGAGTTCCGAAAGAAAATGTCCTTCTGGTTATCAACTTCTGTCTTCCCTTGCAGATATGATCGGTGCGCCCCGCACGGTTAAACCGGTGTTGTTTGTTTGCAGTTCCAGTTCCACTTATTGAGCACCAAAGACACCGAGTCTCCTGTAAGCATAGCAATACTCAGCCTTTTTTTAATCACTTCGTGAAAGTTTCTTCTATTGTAATGTTTTTGGCGTTTTCGGTGTTGGAGTGTAATTTGTGTGTGTGTGTGTGTGTGTTGGGGAAGGGGGGTTACGGCGGTAAAGTGGGAGAGGGGGTTAGGGGTTCTGTCTCGGTCGGCTCACATAGCGTGGTGAAACTCATCTGTTTAGGTCCTTGGGAGAGGCGCCCGTTCCCGTTGCTATCCTTAAAATTGAAGTGATTTAGTTTTACCGGTTAGGTTCGATCAAGTCTTTACGGCCGTCTGTCTTTATCTTCCTTATTTTTTTTTTCTGCGTGGGCATGCATTTATTGTCGTTCTTCTTGTGAATAAGCTCAGCTGCGCTTGAGATTTCGTTTCGCACTGTAATTTGTTTTTTCTCGTCTCAGGGTTTAGGTTGCAATGTTTCCTGACCAACTGACCTGCATATTTTCCCTGACAACTACTCTCACCTTAAGTTCCCGTAACTGACTCTTCACGCATCTAGCTTTGGGTTTCAAGGTAAGATTCGTAACTGCCGCCAGCAGTGACGTTCACAGGCGTTTCTTGTTCGAGATAAGGGGTGGGAACAAGGGGGGTGGGGGGGGGGGGGGGGGGGGGGGGGGAGGGATATGGTCATACAACGATAAAGGAATGCTCGGAACTGCACGGTTTTTCACTCTCTGCGATACAGTCCCGCTTTCTAGCTTCCGACGCTTCCTTAGAGGCGGCGTTATGCGGCAAAGCCGCTATAACGAAGACGTCGGCTTGCTCCGAGTGAAGGTTTGTCGTAGCTTTTCCCGTTCGGAGATCATATGTTACTCAGTGTCTCACCATCAGAGGTTATTTTAAGTAACAGCAAAGTGTAAGGGAAGTTTAAAAAAATAAAAGGATGGAGCTTTTTAAATATCGACGCCCAATCTTGTCACATCTTGAAAAATGAGCCGCATTTCCAGGTTAATAAGAAATACGCAATTAAAGGTGGGCATATTATCTTTATATATTCGTAAAGAATATTTAAAGACGCGCAGTTTGATATGTTTTGTGAAGTATTATAAAAAATGGTTTATTTGCAAAAAAAAAGTGAATAAGTCTAAAACGCGTTGTTATGCCATGTTTGATCATTTTGTTAGCATCAAAATATCTTATTGATATTTTTTTTTTGCGTATGCGTTGTATATCTTTTGTAAAACGTATTAAAAAGTTATGGTGACGTAAAAACTTTGATGACGAAATGGCGACTGTGCAAAGTAGCATCGCGAAATCTTCTCAATTTCCACGCCTCGAGCTTCTCTATTTTATATCTCAGCGAAAAATATTGTTGCGGTGTTCATATATAGCTGAATGTTCCTCCCAAGAACTTTGCTTTCATATATATTTTTAACAAAAATACCTAAATTATGACCCGGACCATCATTGCATGAACTGACGTGGAATCACCTTGTACTATCGGGGAAAAATGAAATGCGAACAGAGGAGCGCGTGGCTCGCGGTACAGGCTGCGCCGCCTGGAAGTGAGCCTAGGGGCGAGGGTGCGTGGCCTATTTCGATGTGTTCACTCCCCTCGATTGGCGCTCCCCAAGCTTCCGCAGTGCGCCTCTCAGTGCGCTGAAAGCTGTCACCGCTATCTTAGCCTGCTCGGCGAGTGCGGCGAGCTTCTTTGCACCGCACGTGCTGAGCCAGCAAAGATAGCGGTGATAGCTTTCAGCGCACCAAGAGACGCACTACTGAAGCTTGGGGAGCGCAGAGGGAGGGGCGTGAACACGTCGGAGTAGGCCACGCACCCTCGCTTCTAGGCTCACTTCCAGGCGGCGCAGCCTGTACCGCGAGCCACGCGCTCCTCTGTTCGCATTTCATTTTTCCCCGATAGTACACACCGCAAAGCCTTGATAAGCATTATTTAGGAAATTCAAGGCTAAGTTCAACATCACCGTGAAGAGATTTTTTCAACCGCTTTTGTTAATACGAAGATGAATGTGCTTTACCCAAACATTATGATCCGTGTGTGAAGTGTTACGCCTACCTACGGTGATATCCCGACAGATAGCCCACCTAAAATTGAAGCACAAATAGGGTGAAAATATGGAGTGGGTGAACTTTCGGTGTACAAACAAGAAAAGTAAAAATGTTTTTTCTGTTTTTTAGATTATGTTTTTCTGCCAAACATGTTATCGCGGTGAGGGACAATAAAGCAAAGACGACTCTACTTTCCAGTCAGCAATGTTCGCTTATAACCCGCAATAGCTACCTCGCCGCATTTACGTCGAGGTCATCATTGATTCTAATAGTGCGATGATTATGCGTGGGTTTTCTCACATCTCTCGGGGATGGGGAATCTATCGGGATATTACGGTATTAATATACGCATACTTACCCGAATATGCGTTTCTTCGGTTAACTTCTTCAGGAGGTCGGCATCGCTTGGTGTTGTCAGCACGTGACTCGCGTTTCCATCCTTTATTTTTGTCAGCAGTTCGTCTGTAAGAATTCCAAAAATTGGCAGAAATTTATTGTTTTACGCAAACGAATTGCAAATGCTAAGGCTGCACTCGGTTAATAAGATCCAAGGACTTGCCTGAAACTGCTTTAATATGTAACAGTTGGGTATAAAAAAGGCAAATACCGATGGAGACCTGGTAAAACACGCTTGCTCTGGAGCTAAATTAAAATTGGCATGCAAAGAAGTTGATGATTAACCGAATTAAGGTAAAACAGATACAAATATCTTGTTTAATTATCTAATTACAATCTTTAAACTTTTAACCGACCGGTAAGGTGAAACACTGCGACAGCTGAGATGTGACGCCGGAGCCACTCAGGTGTCATTTTGGAGCAGATGCACTAAATGAACGGTAAAGGTGCGACCGCGCACCATGGAGTCCGCATAGGCGTTTGTATTAAACCGTGTAACACACCGGACGAAAATTCGGTGGCGTTTTGGTACCTATGAAAGTGTATTAACTGGCGAAGATTTCGTGAACATGTTTAGCAAATCTACTGGACACAAACTAGGACTGCCTTGTGGTAACTGAAGCACACTTCCAAAAACTGCGCGCCCAAATTTGAAATCCAGGGAACGGCGAAACTGCATGTATATGCATGAACCGTTCCTCTCATTAATGTGACTGCCTGAACGTCTTATGAAATGTTATTGAACACAAACTAACACCGCTTTGTGGTCGCCGAACAGAGATGGCAGTAATGACAGTACTGTAACGAGATTCCAGGGATTAATTTTTTTTTGTAATGACTAATGTAATCATTTACTTGTTATGCTCATAACCTAGTAATATAATGAACTACTTTCAGGCAGTCATTTTGAGAAAATTGCACAATACATTTGAAGATACTTTGTCCCAAATTAAAAAGTCTCTTTGCGCGAGCTTAAAAAAAAAATAAAAAAAATAAAGTAGGGTGGTGAAAAAATAATTTGAATGGTGAATTGTCGTGAAAGAGACATTAGAGCAAATAAACGATGGTCATGTGACCGCAAGACCTCGCACGAAGAACTCGACTGACGCACAAGGGCGGGTTGGAAAGGCGGAGAAAATCTTACGTGTAAAGACATCTCTGGAAGGCCACTGCTCATGAACTCCAGACAAGAGAAATTGACGGCGTCACGCCATCATGACGATACTATACTTCGTTCATCACTGAGCTGACAGTGCGGTGGGAGTTACGAACTCATCAGAACCAATCAACCACCTTCCCTTGACCACCTGACACGTCCCTTTCTCTGCGCGTGGGCATGGACGAGAGCGTGGTTACGTGGTGAAAGATACACGTGTGACTGTTCCAACGAGCACGTAGCTTCCACTGCACTGTCAGCTTAGGGATGAACGCTTATACCTGTATGCTGCAAGGCGAACGGCACATCACCAGTGAAGTCATCACATTTTAAAACGTGAGATGTCAGGACAGAAAGATCCCATGCTTTCGCTTTTTCGTCAAGCAAGGTCGAACCATAAGCCTCGACCATTGTGAACAACAAACGCCCGGAATAAATAGTGAATCCCCAATACCTTGTCAAGACCCCAGAACGTTTCCTGTGTATCCTTGACCTTGTTAAAGGGGGGGGGGGGGGGGTATTAAGATGGAAAGAATTTGCCTCTAACCATTTTCACGTTGTTTATCGTGTCCCGGAGCATAGAAAAGACATCCCCTTCATTAAAAAATGTCGCGATTCCGCTGCATAATCGCAAAGCAAAGGTCGAACTTTTCCCCCCACCCGCAGCCACGAGCTGCTGAAGGAACTTCGCCAAGAAGCTTACGTGACCTCGCTCGGCTCTAAGCTGCAGCATAACGCCCGCTAATATCAGCAGAGAGAGAGAGAGAGAGCAAGCGTCCTCCGAGAGAGCACACGGGGCCCTACACGGCACCTCGAATTGCGTCACTAGGAGTGTGGCAAAGTGTCACCCTGAAGACTGGGAGTGAGTTGAGGGGTGTCAGAAATGCCAATATTTATCGTTTTTTTTTTACACAACAACTAGGACACGCAGGCAAAATTGGTTTTCCTCTTTTTTACTTCAGAAATGTCAGAGGGCAACCTCCACAAATTATTGACCGAAGTACCGAAAACGCTGCATCCCCCCCCCCCTCCCTTTTAAGTAAACCTGATTTTTGTAGTCAGAAAAGACGGGTATCGAGAAAAGCAGGTGCCGTTCGGGGTACACCTTGCTGCCTTTCTTTGGGAAGTTTATTCGGAAATAAGCCTACGGCCAAAAATCCCCACGTGTTTGTTGGGAAAGTGCACATTTTAAGAAGCTCGCGCCATCCCTTTCCTCAACTGGCGACGCTTCTGCTTAGCAAATATTTAGCCAAGTTGTGTGAAAACGCGCAATGACTTGGGCTCTTCGGATGTTTGAGAACAATACTCCTTGAGAGAAATGATCTGGAATACGTCAGCTAGTGCACTTGGGAGAATATGATTAGATTGCGTCCGAGCCCGGAGGGAAATGTTTAACGTGAGGAATCCTTGTAAGAACGAGATCCCATGTCCCAACTTAACATACTAAGACGGATTATAACCTGCTAAATCAGGAAGACGAAAACATATCCCCTTTTAACTAAGGACTTTCAACTTTGAATGATCAGCGAAACCGGTGAGTCGACTCTTTTTGAGTCACATCTAAAGAAGAAGCTATTGAACATGTAACACTTATGTCGTGTGCGCCAGCAAAACAACTGTTCAGTATGCTCACTTGAGGTGCATAAGGCTGTTGCGGTGTAAACAAGGAGATCTGTGTTTTGGTACATATACTGTAAATAAAATTAGAAGGATTACTGCCTCAAAATATTGAAAAGTTATGTCTGAGTAATTTCATTACTTTTGCAAAGTAATTGTAATGTGACGCGGTAATTTGTAATGTAATTTAATTACTTTTCAAAAGTAATTTTGCCATCTCTGTCACTGAAGAACAATTCCAAAACAGCGCACTGAAGTTTGAAGCGTGTAGCTCCACCTAACTTCACGCCTGGGGTTTCGCCGGCTTAACACCCACTTAGCATCATTCATTTTATCGCCCATGAACCTTCCTGGCATAATTAGCGAAAAAGCTTTCTTTTTAATGTTTTTATTATCACCAGTCTCATGTTTATGTTTCTACGTGCCGTCCTCGTGTCACGTGACGACGTGCTGGTGACATCTGAATGTCACGCGACGTCTTTAAGTCGTGTGGTTTGACTGTGCAACGTGACTTGATATGACAATGTCATGTTATGGTGTCAGCTGACGCCAGGTCAGCTGACACCATGACATGACATTGTTGTGCAGCGTGACGCCAGAGTCGTCTTGAGCGGCATGACGTCAGCGGCGTAAAGTCAATGTGGAGTTTTTGGCGGAGTGCCGAAAATGACCCGCGTCGATGTGGAGCGCGGTTGACAGCGCGAAACCCGCGAAGGTTTCCGCTAGGCGCTATCGCAGTAAAATTCTATTCAGGGTTATGCCTCCGTTCTACATCGCTTATTGCAAAACCAAAGAAATAAAAACTATTCCGTAATTTTCTGCAAAAAAGCGGTATATAAAAAAATTGTTTCTTTACGACTGGGTTTGTGTTAGAACTTAGAAGTTCATATTATTTTGTTTTGCGTTTCCCTTTCGAGTGACTACGTTTTAGATGGGCCGTTGATACTGGTTGGTCAATCGCAGTGGAGAATGATCAGCCAATGAAGCTGGAATATAACTTTCTTTAAGTAGTGATATATCCTAAAACCATATGCTTAATCTATTAGCTGAGGGTTTCATTTCCGAGCACAAGTTTGACTTATGAGTAAAGACATTAAAAATACTTCAAAATCTTGTAGGAACCAATTTCTAAAAGTACACATATGCTGAACCAGAGCTTTTATTGATGAAAGAAGGAATATATTCTATTAATCGGTTAATGGAGTCATGAAGCGGAAGCTGGGGGTCTGTAAACGGACGATAATGTTCTGCCTAATGAGGGTGGGTTATTCTGAATTCACTGCGAAGTTTCGGTGGAGCATGCAAGCAGGGAGTGCCGCACTCTTTTGTTTATGATCACATACCTTACTGCATGTGAGGTTACGTGGTCATTACATCATTCCAGCGTACTGCGTGTTATGTCCGACAGAAGTGACCAGACTATCCAGGTTCAGGGATACTCCCCCTTTTGCGAGCTTCTTTCGCAACAAGGCTTAACACGCCACCAAAAAAAAAAAAAAAAAGGTTTGAGAAGTTAAAAAAAAATTTCAAGGTGTCGTTAGGTAGGGTCGGTGGTCGAGTGTATTAGCACACTACAGATCACAGCACAAGATCCGAAGAGCTGGCGTTGTTGAGTCCGGAGATCACAAACCCAATCTTTACCCGTTGTGGTACATATATAGATGGGCTTTGTACTAGCGCGCGTTTATATCAATTAAAGCGGTACATTTTCGGAGCTTTCATGCCATACAAAGAAAGGAAATCATTCCCGCTCCAGTGAAAGGTGAAGAGAGGCGACCGGTTTGTGCGTTCTATACTGGCGTGCATCTGTCTCTAAGCGCGCAAGTGCTGCGCGCCCGAGAACATCCTCTTTTATTTCTTTTATGATCAGTGCTAAGCGCATGTCAGGCTCCGCATCTGTGGCCTCTACAGGGTTTAACGTCTTTAATGGCTTCTATTTCAATTTTTGTTGTAGCGTTAAGTGTTTTGTATATACTAGTCCATTTGCAGATTTCATGTTATATTTATGTTGCTCTGTTGTAGTTTTGCTTGTGTTGCAAGTGCAGTCTCGTGGTAGTGGCCCAGTAGGGCGACATTTCCTGTCGTCTTTTGCCTCAGCTCTAAGGAAATTATGTATTGTCAAATTTGAAATAAACAAACACGCTCGCATTAGCTAGGATTGCTAGAACCTGAACACACAAACTCCAGGAGCAGCGTAATTTGAAGAAAAAAAAAATGAAAGGGACGTTTATAAATCACTGTAATGCGAAACTAAAGCGCAGTTCTTGAGGAGGAGGAGGGAAGGGTATGCCCTTCCTCCTCCTCCGTACCCTCCCTCCTCCTCTCCCCTGCTCCTCTCTTCCTCCTTCTTCCCTCCTCCTGCCGCTGAATTTGTTCACGGATGACGTGACACAAAGTCGTGGCGTCATTGTCCCCGCTAAATTTAGTGGGGAAACTAAATTGGTGTTGAGGTCTTGTCACGTAAATTTCCCCGCTAAGTTTAGCGGGGCAACTTAACCCGCTGAAGTTAGCAGGAGAAGGTTTGCGTTAAATTTAGTGGGGAAAATTTCCTTCTAAGTTTAGTGGGAAAACTTCCCACTGAATTTTGCGAAAACATATCCCCCTAAATTTAGCCACGAAATTGCCCCGCTAAATGCAGCTTGAAAATTTACCCGGTACATTTAGCGAGAAAATTTCTCTGCTGAATTGAGACGAAAATTTTCCCCTGTATATTTCGAGGATCCCGCTAAACGTAACGGGAATATTTCCCCACTAACTCTAAAGGGGAACCGTCCCGTGCTGCAACGTGCGGTTACGCCGACGCCTACGCCGACGCCACCCAACCCGAAAACGGGTGCCTCTAGGCGCATTCACACGGGGCAAAAAACGCGCGTTGCGGTCCACGTCGACGCCGGCGTCAAAAAGGCGAAGCAGTCACACAGGGCCACCCGACGTCGGCGCCTTCTCGGAGAACCTCGCGTTTGTCGAGAGAACACGGAAATTCTTTATTCGTCTGCTTCGTACGATTGTTGTTGCCTTGCTTTCGCGATTGCATATGCGCTCGGGGACAACCGTCTTCATTAAATGAACAACGGCCCTGATTATACGTAGGTTTACACTCCCGTTGTATGCAGCATATGCGAAAGACACATGTTCGAGCGGGCACCTCCAGAAAGTGCTCTTTTGCCGAGTTCTGCGCAAAAAACAAAATAAAAAAAAAAAAAAAGAAAACGCGGTGCTACGTTTGCGCGACCGTACCTTTAACACTGCACGCAGCTTGTGCGATGGTGTTTTATAACTGCTGTATTCCGTAGTGGTGGCGTGCACACAAGTGATGCAGAAAACGTATTGGTAGGGATCGCTCCCGCACAATCGGAGGTCGGAACACACTGTGCACTTCGGTGACGGCTTTAACGAAAATAATTAAAAATAGTTTCACGCCTTCGTACACGCACATAAAACACTGCTCACAGTCAGATGTTCCAATCGGCTTGTTTCTCTCCCCGCTGAAATGCTTCTAACCTCGCTTCACGACTGCATGAATCTCTCGACCCTCTGCCTTTTCGCCTACCTTCTGGATCAAAAAATAAAACCAGCTAAAACGTCTTCTAAACTCAAAAAATCGACACGTCACGTCCGGTCGCAAGCGCACGCGTCGAGGGAAAAATTGGGACCAGAGACATTGTCTCCCTGCGTCGTCCTCCTCGGCGTGCGACTGTGCAGTGTGTGTGTGTGTGTGGCAGAAACTAGAGTTTTTGCCTGCCGTCGGAGGTAGCGTGTTTGACACCCTCTGCTGGCGCTATTGTTTTCTCTACACCCTTTTAACTTTTCCTCCTCATTTAATAGGTATTATAAAGATACTCTGATGTATTCAAATAGTTTTAGGAATTTGATTGTTTTCTAAAACATGTCAAACTCGTCACTCCGGTCGCTTTTCGGTCAGATTTGACAGGTCATTACTTTGTCTGTACTTAAGGTAAATTTTCTTTATTTGGCTCTACAGAAATCCCAAAGCAAGCCCATTATAGATATAATAATATCATTATTATCTGCCAAGTAGCCGCTCCGCTACTTTCACGTAAACGTTGTGAAAAATAACAAATGTTCACACATTTCACGCGATTGCGGCTCAAACAGAGGACATACAACCAAAATATTACATTTCTAGACTATTTTTTCTTGTAGTCGACTAATATGTCTAAAAGAATTTAAAAAATAAAAATTTACAAAAATGGAGTTTTGAGAAAATCGACCTCAAACTTTCAACATTTGTTATTTCTTACAACGTTTACGTGAAGGTAGCGGAGTGGCTAGTCGACAGATCATAATAATATTATTATATCTATAATGGGCTTGCTTTGGGCTCTCTGTAGAGCCAAAGAAAGAAAATTTACCTTTAGTACAGACAAAGTAATGACCAGTCAAATTTAACCGAAAAGCGACCGGAGTGACGAGTTTTACATGTGATTTAGAAAACAATCCAATCCCTAAAAATATTTGAATACATCAAGGTATCTTTATAATACCTATTAAATGAGGGAGAAAAGTTAAAAGGGTGTAGAAAAAACAATAGCGTGAGCAGAGGGTGTCAAACAAGCGACCAGCGACGGCAGGCAAAAACACTGGTTTCTGCCACTGCGGCTTCTACGGCTCGTAACTCGAGAACAAAAAAATTGGGAGAACATGCGGTTTGCGCCCTCCTTCATTTGAAAAATTCCCCCAAAACATTTTTTTTCGTGAAAATTAAAAATTAGACCCTTTTAGCCTGCCCGAATTGAGATGAAATCACCCATATATATACATGTATTAGTAACTCTGACATTATGCATCTTTGACCTATATATAAATATACGTATATATATATATATATATATATATATATATATATATATATATACATACAGGGTGTTTCGCGAAAGGTGGACAAATTCGATATTGCAAAAACTACGGGTCGCAACAAAGAAAGACCTGTGTTGTTTTGGCCCTGGGCCAGGGGCCTATTTAAGAACAATTATTGAAGTCCGAGATAATTAGATTGTTTATTATTTTTGCGTAATTAACTTTTATATATTGTGTTTAAGGGCATGGTTTCAATTAGAAAATTGCTCAGGATTATTGCAAATTACTAAATCACGAAATTGCAAAACGATAGAAGGCACTCGTAGCATCCTACGTGTTTCTTAGAAACCGCACAAATTCGACGAGTTTTTAAGTTTCATTTTGCTATCGGAGCGCGTCTCGGCCCCGACAGCACCACGCCCTGTGGAGAAATAGTGCAAACAACCTCTGCTGCGCTGTCCTCGCGCGAGGCAGCAGAGGCATGGTTGCACTAGCTATTTCTCCACGGGACGCGGTGCTGTCGGGGCCGAGATGAATAATGGCTTTACCGTTATCTGCTGTGGCCCAGACTTTTGCCTGTCGCAAATAGCAAGTTGCTGGTGATCGCTGCCCACCTTTTTGGATCGTCAAAACAGTTCGCTGCACGCACTTCTTGCAGGATTGCAACGTCGTCTCGAGCTAAAACAAGCACTCACGAGAATTCCGCTGCATAGGTGGCCGCCATTACAAACTCAGTTCCCCTGCTCGTCTTGGCTTCCTTGCTTTTAGCTGTTCCCCTTGCGTCGGCTTCCAGTGAAGTTCGGTGTCCGGCAAAGCCGGCAAACGAGAGTGGCTTCCGGTAGGATTCCGGCGACGGGTAATCGTAAGTGTGAAACTTCCAGCGAAAGTGGCTGCCAATAATATTTCCACCAAAGACTGGTAAACTGCGCTAGTTTCTGGTGAAAATGTTACTGGAAGTTTTTGCCGGATTTTAGCCGAAAGTGGCTCCGGTAAAACATTTAGCGAAATCTGGTAACTGAAAGTGGCGGCCGGTAATATTTCCACCAAAAAACTGGTAAACTACGCTGGTTTCTGGTGAAAATGAGTGAAAATTAACCCGTTTCCACCGAATGTCACTGAAAGTTTTGGCCGGATTTTTCAATAGGGTATAGTTTCTTTAAGTTAAGGAACTTCGTATTTTTTTATGATTGACAGGACGCGTAAAGCGGTTTCCCCACGGATTAAAACCATGGGGTGAATCTCGGCCCTCTGATTCTCGGCCATCAGTACGCGCGATGGCCTTTTGTGACGCACGTCACAAATGCCCGAGCAGGCGGCGGGTTAAAACGCGTGCCAGTACAGATGCGCGTACAGATGCCGCCTCGGATGTAGAGATGCCACCTTGAGAGATTTGGCTTGCTGACTGGTTGCTTGCTTGGGTGGGCTGGCGGGGCTATCGGGAACCGACAGCATTGGGGAGTTTTCCTAGATCGTTTTCGCCATCCCGCAACGCTCTCCGGAAATCGCTAGGATACTCGGAACTCTACGGCCAAGGCCATCGCGCGCAGGCACAGTAGCGGCTTTTTCTTTGCGTTAGGCTTAGCGGAGGGGGAAACGCGGTCTACGAAAACTCCCTATGGACCAACTCAACTCACTGACGTCACACCACTGCGGTGACGCTGCTGTCGGTACTGCGCATGCGCAAACGCATCACTTCACTCGAATTCGGTTTTTGAGCACATACAATGCCCCCACCTGGTGTGGGCAAAGCGGGCTTGTTTCGAAACACTGTGTTGGTGCGTTATCTTTGCGTTTTGCTTTCACACGCGGATTAGGCCCGACACACATTTAGCGTTCTACCAAGCGGTGTTGCGGGTTTTCTATTCGCGGCCAAGTTTAGCCTCCTTTTGTTTTATGCCATATGTTTATCACGCACTGCGCCCCATCGTGTCGCATTGTGGGTTAACATGCGCCCCCAATGAGCCTTTTGTTTTTAGCCAAATATCTACCATTCAGCCAAACCGCTTGTGTCGTCTTGCAATGTGTCGCCGCAGACTGTCACCGCGAAGCGATGTGAACGAGGGGGGTCGGCTGGGTTAACACGCGGCTTAGTGATGCAACACCTCACCGACCGCCACTGCACCTCCAAAAAGAGCAACCCCGGCGCCGTCCTCGGTGAGAGCTGTCTTCTTATCTCAAAGAACAAACAACGAGCGCGAAAGGATCATTGCCGTCTCCTGCTTGCGAAAGAGCGGGGTGTTCAAACAGGCCAATGAGAGCCCTGGATTTCCTCCATGGTTTTACTCCTTGAGCAAACGGGAATACGCTGCCGGGACAAGCAACACCACCATCTCACGAAATCTTTTGGGAAAGTAGCGATGCACGCGAACCTTAATCAGTAGAGGCACCGATGCTTTTCAAATCAAAAGCTTAGCAAAGGCGTACCTTGCTCAGTTGCCAGCTCAGATGGTATGACGACTCCTCCAGCAAACACGACTCCATACATGGCAATGAAACTTTCCAGCGAATCGTCCACGTGTACGAGCACTTTGTCACCTGGCTTTACACCGTGGCTTTGGAAACCGGCGGCGTATTGATGAAGCATCTTCAGCATCTCTGAACTCGTCACTTTATTTTCTTTGCAGATCTGCAACGGCAGAAGGGTGAATAATTATTATTTTTAATAGTGATAACCGTAATGGCAGGAAACACATTTTGGACTATGAGCATGTGTAATACTCTGAAAGTGGACGTCATGCCTGGCATCTCACGATCTAGTCTCAACTCTGGAAGCAAGTACAGTGCCCAGGACCATAATCTATATATCTTGCGGCTTTGGAGTTATCAGTATGTCCATCTCTGCAAATGCATGTTTACTTCAAATAGCATCCGACTTTTTACTTCCTACCTTCCGTGAGAGTTGCCCAGTGACTTACGAAATGTCCGGCTGACGAGAAGAAATAGCTATTTGTATTGTACTGTACAATTCAGTATGATCTGCCGTGGATGTTTTGGCGACTGGAGTTGTGTTGTCTCTTACGAGCCGTCACTCAACAAAGCAGTACACCTGCCGAAACAATTTTTATCATGTTAGAAGGATAGATAATGTGGATGCTTTGGCAAGTTGGTAATTAATGCTTGGATGGAACAGCGCGGATGAACAGTCACACTCACACGCACACAAGAAGGAAAAACACTCGCAGCGCTTACTTACAACTCAGTCCTATATTTCTTCTTCCTCAAATCTTCAGCTTCTTCACCTTTGCCGTTAATGAGAACAATTAAAATTTTTACACACCAGAAACCGAACAGCCAATAAACATTAATAAATAACTAATAATTAAAAAATAAAAGACAACTCAAGAAATAATATTAAACAATTAAATTAAAGATTAAATTGAAATTTTTTTTAATTTCATTTCTTAAATATTATTTCTTTAGTTGTATTTTATTTATTTAACTATTAGTTATTTATTAATGTTTATTGGCTATTTTGTCTCTGGTGTATAAAAATTTAAAATTGTTCTCATTAACGGCAAAGGTGAAGAAGTAGAAGATTTGAGGAAGAAGAGATATAGGACTGAGTTGTAAGTCAGCGCTGCGAGCCTGTCTCCTTTTGTGTGCATGTGAGTGTGACTGTTCATCCGCGCTGTTCCATCCAAGTTCGAAGGATAGGAATTCGAAATATTGAAGACTCTTTGGAGATTTTTAGAGCGCAGCTCTTAGGCGCCTGTTTCCGGCTTGAGCGGCGTCGGCGTCGCCGTCGGCGTAACCGCGCGGTGCTTTATGGGTAAATTTCCCCGCTAAATCTAGCGGAAAAATTTCCCCGCTAAATTAAGCGGAAAAATATCCCCGCTAAGTCTAGCGGACAAATTTCCCCGCTAAATCTAGCGGAAACATTTCCCCGCTAAATCTAGCGGAAAAATCTCCCCGCTAAATCTAGCGGAAAAAATTTCCCCGCTAAATCTAGCGGAATATTTTCCCCGCTAAATCTAGCGGAAAAATTTCCCCGCTAAATCTAGCGGAAAAATTTCCCCGCTAAATCTAGCGCAAAAATTTCCCCGCTAAATCTAGCGAAAAAATTTCCCCGCTAAATGTAGCAGAATATTTTCCCCGCTAAATCTAGCGGAAAAATTTCCCCGCTAAATCTAGCGGAAAATTTCCCCGCTAAATCTAGCGGAAAAATTTCGCTAAATCTAGCGGAATATTTTCCCCGCTAAATCTAGCGGAAAAATTTCCCCGCTAATTCTAGCGGAAAAATTTCCCCGCTAAATCTCGCGGAAAAATTTCCTCGCTAAATCTAGCGGAATAATTAACCCGCTAAATCTAGCGGAAAAATTTCCCGCTAAATGTAGCGGAATAATTTCCCCGCCAAATCTAGCGTGAAAATTTCCCCGCTATATCTAGCGGAAAAATTTCCCTGCAAAATCTAGCGGAATAATTTCCGTGCTAAATCTAGCGGAAAAATTTCCCCGCTAAATCCAGCGGAAAAATTTCCCCGCTAAATCTAGCGAAAACATTTCCCCGCTAAATCTAGCGAAAAAATTCCCCGCTAAATCTAGCGAAAAAATTTCCCCGCTAAATCTAGCGGAAAAATTTCCCCGCTAAATCTAGCGGAAAAATTTCCCCGCTAAATCTAGCGGAAAAATTTCTCCGCTAAATCTAGCGGAAAAATTTCTCTTCAGGTCTGGTGACCCTTCGAGGTCACGTGACCCCCGTGGTCACGGGACACCCCCAGGTCACGTGACCCCCACGTGACCTTGGCGAGGGGGTCATGTGACCCCTCGCCAAGTTGTAAACGGCTTTCATTTTTTTATACTTCAAACATCGTCAGTCTTTTTAATCGAAGCTTTTTTTGTTTATTATTATCAGAAGATAACCCTCCTTTTATATGTCGTAGGAACCGTTGCGTTTCAGATGCTTTAGCGTTGAGCACAAGCAGTAGAAGCGTTTAAGAAGCTATATCTTCCTTCGCATTTCGTAGCGATTGTAAAACAAATTCCTCGTATAAAATACGATATCTTTGTGCCCTTTAATCAGAATTATACTAACATTGTGACTTGCCTCTATAGTCTCGGTTAAACAACCAAGGTGATGGTGTTAGAGTTAAATGGATACATTAGGTATATCACGACAACGGCAAGGCCTCTAAGCAGGCTTTTGGCCCAAGGCTGGTTCACATAGTGTTAAGTTGCAACCGAGTGCGCTGTACAGCCTTGGGATCTCTCAGGAATAGAGAACAAGCAAACACGATGGTGCCATCTTTCAGGTGGCCCCTTAACTGCATTTCATTAGAGTTAGGGTTTTGCAGTATTTGCCAGATAAAATGTGCGCACTATCTATACAAATGATCGTTCATAACATTGTGAAGTTTTTGAAGCCCAAAAAGAGTATAATGCACAACAAAAAAGGAAAGGTATAAGAAAATCTCTAGTGTTCCTCCACTACCCGATAGATGGCGCCAGGGTGTTCTCTCGTCGTTCGAGACCACGAGAAGTTGTAATGTGCTCGGTTTTAACCACACGTAAGAGGCTGGACCATCCTAAATTGCTGGGGTATGCATATCGAAGAAAACATAACTCCTGCACTGCGCTTGAGAAATGAGCAGCGCAGCTAAGTTTAATCCTGCTTAGCACAATATTTTATATAGCGATGACATTTTTTCCACACAATGTAAACAAAACTCGCCATACTTACTAATGCAGTCCGTTCCCCATGTTGAACCAGCCTCTCTTTTATGGCCTGGCAAACTAATATCTTTGGTACAGAGCCACCGGGATAGGGGGAATGTACAATGCCGTCTTCGATGCGGGCTTTCAACGACATTCCTCTGATATCTTAGCGTTCCCCCGGTTATTACGTCTGGTGACTCTAATCTGAAAGGAAGAGAAAAAGATGCAAAACACGACAATACATTCACCAATTTAAAAACCACGCCTGCTTGCCAGACCCAAGGTCTGTCATTCAAAGGCTTTCAAACTCACGAGTCTACATAGATACTCCTCGGAGGAAGATTATTTTTCCTATTTCTACAGCCGCCGTATCCTGTTTAAATTCACAGCATGGGACGCTTGGTATTGCGTTACGTTCAAAACAATATTTACGTCGCTAATATACCGTTGTTAGTGAGCCAATCCCGAGTACCCAGCACTTTATCCCAAAACTCATAGCCCTTGAGCAGATTGCGTCGTGACGCACTGCCCGCAGATTTAAAACAAAAGAGCGCTTCCTTTTGCGTTTTGAATTCTATAGAATTTATCTCCGCAATACCCCGCAAGGGCACCTCCATGTGTAGGTGTTTGATGAGCGGCGTCACCGCGGATTCCGAGCTGTGTGGGTTAACCCACTTACTTCTGGCTCGTCGTGACTTTCCCATGTCCGGGAAAACATTTAGCAGTGCTGTGTTAATCCGCAGTACAGTCCCAGCAATAGCTGCGACGCGTACCGGCGAAGTTGTCGGACCATCGGCGTCGCGTTCGCGCAACGTGGGGTGAGTGAACAAAAGTGTTCAAACGAAATAGACATCTTACCAAATTGTTCCGAACGTTTTTGTTTCTTTTTTGTTCCGGAGCGCATGAAAGCATAACTCCCTCCGGAGCTCTTGGCATTGACAGTGCAACGACGGCATTTTGTTATTGGATTGTTTTTGCCAGAGAGCGCGTGCAGTCGGCATCGGGTACTGCAAGAACCATAAGTTTAAAGAGGGTTGTTTACGCTGTGGCATATATATTTATATATATATATATATATATATATATATATATATATATATATATATATATATATATATACATACCCATTACTATAATTTGAGTACGCCGACTGCAAGCACTGAAAGTAAGCCTTTAGTACACTTGAGTCATAGCCTCCTCTATAGGAGGCTATGCTTGAGTGCACTCCTTGTATACTAATTTTGAACTACTTTTTACCGTGGGCACTACGATTCTACTACATGTACTAGTTTTGTACGGACGAGTATACTTTCAGTTCACCGCCATTTTTACTGGAAGTATACTTTAAGTACACTTAAAGTATACAATCAGTACAAAGACCGCACTGAAATTATACTTTTAGTATACTTCAGTACACTTCGAGTGTACTGATTTTGAACCACTTTTCGCTAAGGGTAGTTTTGTGCGGACGAGTATACTTTCAGTCCACCGCCATTTTTACTGGAAGTATACTTTAAGTACACTTTAAGTATTCAATCAGTACACAGACCGCACTGAAAGTATACGTTTAGTATACTTCAGTACACTTCGAGTGTACTGATTTTGAACGACTTTTCGCTAAGGGATGACTAGCTAAATAATTATTGACAAGTTAGATAACGCTACTTTCTGTGGCGTACAACGTAGCTAATTTTTCTATTTTTGCTTTTTTTTAGGCGTAAGTCCATGTTGCATTTGCGACGTGAGTATGCTATGACAGTGCCCGTCGTTTCCCCGGGAAACGTTTGGACCACGTGGTCTGCAGCGAAATGAGAAATGAAGCATCCCTTTGTCACATTATGTCAGCTATACCCGGTGATAATTTTTAATCAACTGGTTTCAGGAAAATTGGGGGCTCACTGTCATGTTGATGCACACTCCATGTGTGTCGTGCGACTCGGCGGACATTACATGGGTGAATAACCGTGGCAACATTTTTTTTAACTAATTAAAATCCGTAAATTTACTTTTTATTATTATTGCTGTTTTAGAGGCAGTCATTATTAGAGCCTAACACAGTCAAAACTATTCACGAAACAGCCAAGGGGCTTTCAGATATTTATTTATCAAATTTCGCACTTTTTTTCCTCGATTCAAGAACCACACGCGGCAGGGGCGGGCAACGTGGAGAGTGACTTAGCGGTTTTGACATGACATATCGGTGATGGCATGTTTGTGTTAGCGGGAACTTCTCATACTGGAGTTCTTTGCATTATTTAAGTTTCTAGTGAAGTTACAACCCTCATAAAGTGCTGTCGCATTCAGCATGAACGAAGTTGCACACTTTTTACAGCGTGCATTTGGTGGAGGCTCCAGCATCATACTTCCAACGGTTCGACTGAAGGGAATACGTAAAAATAGCATCCTGCGCTCTGCCCGGCGCGCTGTTTTTAATCAGGCGACGAAAGGCAGAGTTTTAGCTATGAATAACCCAAAATTCGTCGCCTTTTCGCAAATTGTTTCAGTTGGGCTAGGGTTTATTCATAGCCCCTTCAAAATTGAAAGTTCAACATGATCAATTACACTGTAAATTAAAAAAGTTAATTAGACAGCGTACTGTGACGTTTAGTTACTCATCTAATGTTCGCCGAGCCCTGTAAATATTCTGTGAAAACGGCATCGGCCATCTATCGCGTTTTTAATGTGTTGATGTTAACAATCGCACTGTATATATATATATATATATATATATATATATATATATATATATATATATATATATATATATATATATATATATATATATATATATATATAACGGGCATGGTGGCGGGAGGCCGAAGGCGTGGGTATAAAACTGAGAAGAAAAAAACCCTTAGTGAAAAACAGCAACAACGGACGATTTAATCTTCGACGTTTCGGCCGGAGTCCGGCCTTCGTCAGGAAGATATATATATATATATACCCGTTACTATAATTTGAGTACGCCGACTGCAAGCACTGAAAGTAGGCCTTTAGTACACTTGAGTGCACTTCTTGTATACTGATTTTGAACTACTTTTTACTGTGGGCACTACGATTCTACCACATGTACTAGTTTTGTACGGACGAGTATACTTTCAGTCCTCCGCCATTTTTACTGGAAGCATACTTTAAGTGCACTTAAAGTATACAATCAGTACAAAGACCGCACTGAAAGTATACTTTTAGTATACTTCAGTACACTTCGAGTGTACTGATTTTGAACGACTTTTCGCTAAGGGAACTGAAACAATTTGCGAAAAGGTGACGAGTTTTGGGTTATTCATAGCTATGAATAACCCAAAATAATCCGGTGTTTTTGTAATGCAGGTCTCAGCGTACTATACGCTGTTTCAGATATCTGCATCCACAGCAATCAAAAAGACAGGAGGCAAAAGAAACCACGGCTAATAATGGGGACATAAGATCCTCCACCTTGCATGGTCGCATGCAGCGCAAATCAACTTCCGAACCGCGTAAGCGAAGTGATGTTATGAATGGAAGCTCGCTCTGAAATTGGCTGGAGAAATCGGCGCCTTTATGCAACAACCTCAAGCTTTCACCGAAAGTGTTTCATGGTGTAGATTTATCTTGCAAAACTCTAAAGACATCTCAATTCACGTGAAAAGAGATTGACAATTGCAACAACGAACAACACCGTCGATCGAGATTTCCACACTGTAAAAAATCGACGTAAATTTAACGTGTCTTTCCCTCGTCAAAAAGGACGGGCACGCTCATTGTTTCAAAACACGAGGTTACCCTCATTATTTATGTGCCGCGAGAGCCGATCCTTCCAGAAAAGCCGAAATACCAGCGGTGCAAGCATGCGCTGATGAATCAAAATAGCCTTGGCGACAAGGGAGAAACTGCTTGAGATAGTTTCGGTTTTACACTGAAAAATAAAACCGAAAGTTTAGATAAAACCTAAAATAGACTAAACGGTTTGTTAATTTTTTACTAATATAATAAAGTAACATTATTATTATTAATATATTGATTTGCATAGTTTTGTTTTAAAAACAAAAAAAAAAATAAAAAAAGAACAAAAAGAAGAGACGTTTGAAAACTGCGCAAGACCATCGCTATTGCAATCAGCTTACGTTCGGCCGCCGTTGGAGTTCCGGAGAGTTCGAGCATCGCTTCCTTCTTACGTTTTAGCCGTTTTTGCGGATATTTTAGATACCTTACTTACGAATACCGTGTTCAATAATAGCAAGCGATTACTGAGAGCTGTGAGACACAGCGTCGCAAGTGGCGGATAGTCATGGCCGACTGGTGCAAGCGAAGGTGAGGAAGTTCCTTTTTTTTCTGCGAAGTGCGCCGCTGTTTCAAACTTTGTCTTGTACCGTGTGCTTGCTAAGCTATGCTGGACTCTCACTATGCTGTACCCGGTTTTATTTCGTTATTTGAAAAGAGCGTGTCTTCAAAATTTATGGCTCTCTCCGCAGAGTGAGAAAGATTCGCGTGCGGCGGAACCGAGGGCCTGCCGAGGGCCTGTCCTGGGCGCCGTCCCTACGACGGTCGCCCGACGAGGCTTTTGCGGAGCGTTCAAGTACAGTCTGGCGGCAGTTCAAGCAATCACAGGTCATGCTAGTTCTGAGGTGTGGTTCCAACAGTCTCTCGTCAACGATTTGTTTCATAAAGCGTTAGCGTGAAAAACGTTACAAGAGCGAGCAGCATGATTTCTTGCCCGTGCTGATGCCTGTGCCGTAGAAACGGACGATCTCTGCGTATGCCGAAGCGGCACGCTTTCCAAGTTTGCGATTTTGTGTTGTGAATAAAGTGAGGTTCTATGTCACGTTTTTTAGTGGCGGCGAAAGCCGCTACAAAAGGCAGAGCAGTTAGAAAAAGCAAAAGCACGAAACAAATGTTAAAAGGACCTGAATATTCGATGGAGTTGAAAGACTACCAACGTACCAACTCGCCCAGTTATTCTTTGTCAAAGAATAATAGCCAATACTAATATATTAAATAAATGCCAACTTTTAATTGGTTAGAAATTTATAACTGATGCAGTACAGCTTTACCCTGCTCTAGTGCTTTTATGATATCAGATAATGTGTAAATATATAGGATAGTTCAGAGCAACCATTTATGTCCGACCCATTATATTGAATATTTTCTCTAAAAGCTCGAAGTTATATAAAAAAG